CTAAGGCAAACAAAACCCTAGAGATGGAAAAAGTAGGGGTGAAGTTATGAGTGATGATGTGGGGGAGGATGGGAGATTATCTGCAGAGGGGCATGAAAAACTGTTGGCAGTGATAGATCCCCTTGTATGATAATTATGAAGGTATAAAGTTGTGAAAACTGTACACTTAAAACAGATATATTGTGTTATATGTTAGCTTGAAAAGAATGAATACTCTAGTATGAATTCTACTACCAACTAGCTCTGTGTATTCTTGTGTAAAGAGCTTAGCTCTTTGCATCTTGTTCTTATTGGAAAAATGGAGACAATAGGTCACTTACCTTCCTTATTCAGTTATTGTGAAAATATAAGTGAAATAATTCATTTTGAAATGCTTTTAAAATAGTCATATGGGTGGAGGCGCTATTTTGAGTCAAGAAGGGCAAGAACTATAATAACCATTGATGAACTAATATGTATATTTTGGAGTTTATTTGCAAGTTATCTTTTAACTTTGTGGAATGTGGGCTGTGTCATTTCCTTTCTTTGTCAGTAAAATGAAGGGGTTAGACTAGATCAGAGATAGAAATCCCAAGAAGCTCAGAATCTTAAAGCTTTTAAGATATGTGGTTTGCTCATTTTTTGTTTGTTTGTTTTAGCCTCTGCAGTGTTGGCCTTTCCAGCATTAATTTAAAACATGACTTGTTGCCAGTGTTTAAATCTGGAGGTTTCACATAAAATTTTGGGTTTCCAGCTTTTACTTAGAAATTAATGTTGCTGACAAAACTGAGTCAACATTCTTACATGATAACAATTTGGAGTTGCATAGTAGCTGTCCCTTTGTATGGGTCATGCTCATTAGTTTCCCATAGTATCCACCACACTCTGTCTGTTGCCTTTTCTGTTCTGTGTAGATCGATTAAGAAAGTTAATTCATTATTGAATACTCGCTGTTTGTTAGGTATTATTCTAGGGCATGATGATCCAGAGGGGAACCAAACAGACAAAACGTTTAAACTCATAGTGAATTGTAAATATCCTTCTACATTTCTGTAAAAAAATTAAGGAGAGAAAGTTAGACCAAGCCTGCTATATATTTCAGGGAAAATGGTAGAAAGTATATTTCTTTGTGTAAGTAAAAAAAAAAATTCCTACATATTTACTAGGCAGAGTGTGTCTGTGTCAAAATTATCCTCCTTGCTTCACTTAGTAGATCAGATCCTTTCCTTCTGTGATTCATTAAATGCATGGATGAGGTTATCATAGTGTTTCACAGAATGCCAAAGGCAGAGAGACTGGCACAGGCCAGTTAGATTTCCTTACCTCTGCTTAAACCATCCTCTGTGCAGCTTTGGGTTTTTCTATTTAATCAAGATCTTGGGATGCAGCTGGGTCTGAAATAAGCACCTCTATTCAGTCATCTCTGTTGGCAGCCTCTTTTATAGTAGCTTGGATCCTATCCAGGCTGAGAGTCAGTACCCTGATACATGTGGTGAACCTGGACCAAGAAGTAGCTTGTGTGCTGTTGTCTCCCCTCTATCTTCTAAGCAAATAGTTTGCACCTCTATTTGGTCAACTACATGGTGTTAAGTGACTGGCATCTTAAGAGTGACAAATACTACGAAGCTTTTGATTTTGAGCTCATGGTTTAAATCCTTCTCACAAACAAACTACCCTTTTATAGGCACAAATGCTTAATAATGTGGTTCCATCTATATTAGGATTAGTAATTCTTTGCTTTGCTTTTATATTTATCATGGTCATAGGTTTCAAGACTCTGGACTGTCTTTTCTCAACAAGTTATGCTTGCTGATTATGTGGTAGGTGACCCATTTCACTCATTCTGGCTGGAAAGGGCATCTTGCTACCTATGCTGTTCCCATCTGCTACAGCACTGCTCCCATCTGGTGGCAACTATCTCAAATTGCAGCATCATCTACCTTCTAAAAACAGGTCCTTTAGTGGTTCCAGGCATCACACATTGAAATGCCTTTAAAATGTGTCATATATGGGTACTGGGTGGGAGAATATCCCATCAGCTCTTCAGACAAGAAAGGCAAGAACTAATATATACATTTTGGAGTTAATTTGCAAGTTCTCTTTAACTTCATAGAACATAGCTATCAGTAAAATGAAGGGGTTAACCATGTCCAATAAAGAAATACCATTTCTACTTTTTATTCTGCAGCATTGTCAGAGGTCTCCTTTAAAGGATATTACATGTTTTTTCTCTTCCAAATGTGAACTATAATGGTTTTTGGACAGTCAGGGGACTGATACTGCTGTAGGTTCTGTCTATAGCTTGCATTGAGACTCTTGAGCTTCACTCGGTTTCTCCACCCATATAGCAAAATTCTTGAACTTAATGCTATCCAAGAGTACTACTAGTAGAGAGTGTGTAGTGTATGATATTTTAAAGTATCCAAAGTATCTGTTAAGTGAATACCCACTTGGACTATGTACAAAACAATTATGAATATAAGTAGAAATTTTATAATTTATACTACCACTTTCTCTAGTTCTAATATGCATCAGGGTCTGGGGACAGTGGGACATACCTGTAACCCTAGATACTTGGCAGGCTGAGGCAGTAGGGTCATAAGTTTGAGGCCAGCTAGGGCACCTTAGCAAGACCCTGTCTCAAAATAAAAAAAGGCTGGGGATGCAGTGATAGAGTACATATGAGGCCCTGGGTCCAATCCCCAATATCACTGGTAGAAAAGAAAAAAAATAAAGTGTATACATCCATGGTTTTAATAATTTTGGGGAGAGAAAAAGAAGATAAATAATGCTGCATTAAAATTACATATTTATTACAGGACAAATTCTGATACCCTAAAAATTAAAATATAAATATTATGCATCTTAGCATTTAGGAATTTGGGGGCTGAGGTTATGGCTCAGTGGTAGAACACTTGCCTAGCATGTGTGAGGCACTGGGTTCTATTGTCAGCACTGCATATAATAAACAAATACTCAAAATTCTAGAATTAAAATTGATAATGAGTAATGTATGATAAGAAGATGGGAAGTGGTATTGAGATACCAGGATTAGAGACATGGTGTTTAAAATTAAAGACTGGATGATAAAATTTCATGTTTATCTGAATGTTAAAGAAGGTAGTGGCAGCAGGTTCTGGTAGATTGCTACCATAATGCACATTTAGAACCTCTAATTTCATTAAAAACGTTCTTTCACAGAATTATGTGTGTGTTTTATGAAAACACAAAACAGTGCTTCTGAGTAAGACTTTTTTGGTTGCAAGGAATAGAATCCTACTCAAGTTAATTTGAAAAAGTGTAATTACTATAAAGATAAAATAGGAAATGCTATAGGCATTAATAGACAGGTACTGAAGGGCCATTGAGCCTCAGAGGAATTAGAATGGCACCTGAGACTTATTTCTGTAGAATAGCTATTTATTGATCTACAACAAATTTGCAGGTGATTGCTAGCCCCAACACCCAGCTTCACTGAGCTGCGTCCTCAATACATCATAACCTCAGCCAAGTTCCCATACTGATGAGTTTTCCCTGGGTTCACACTACCAAATTAGTGACTGGCTCTGTACAAAGAATAGCCTAGTGATTTTTTTTTTTTTTTTTTTTTTTGCTGCTAAGAGTAAATGGACAACATATGCAAGCTAAATGATGAAGGTATTCATGCAGGCCAATGGATGCAGTGTTCAGTATAACTGCTGCTCATTCCAAAGCCTTTGATTTTGATAGTCTTGCCATACCTTGTCTAGATAATTCTCTTAATAAGGGCATAGAACACCTCATGGTGCTTTGGGAGTGAGGTTGAGGTTAAGAGTTCTAAGAATTTGTGAAACTTTACACTCTAAGAAATTTAGAGCATTTGGAATTTCCTGTTAGAGTTATATAAATTTCTGTTAATGAACCGGGAACTGTCTTTTAGAGAAGGGTTAGTGCATATGTTAAAAAAGTCTTCCCAATAATTGAGTCCTAATATCTGCTATGTAGAATAGCACTCTTATACCTGTATCTTGGATCTTTTCAATTACCCATAAATTAGGGAGGGCAGAAGGAATCCTCAAGGTCTACTGTTAGATTTGAATTAGGGATGGAGTGAGGAAAAGTGAGAAGAAATTGAAATTTCTTGAAATAAATCAACAGCTCTGTGTGTGTGTGTGTGTGTGTGTGTGTGTGTAGTATGGGGGATTGAACCCAGGGGTGCTCTACCACTGAGCTACATCCCCAGCTCTTTTTTAATTTTTAATTTTGAAACAGGGTCTCACTAAGTTGCAGAGGTTGGCCTCTGACTTGTGATTCTCTTGCTGCAGCCTTGTGAGTTGCTGGGATTATAGGCTTGTGCCACTATGCTCAGCTCACTTGACAACTCTTTTTTTAAAAAATATCTTTATTAGTTATTGATGGACCTTTGTTTATTTATTTGCTTATATGTTGTGATGAGAATTGAACCCAGTGTCTCATATGCTACGCAAGTGCTCTACCACTGAGCCACAATCCCAGCCCAACAACTCTTTTTAATAGCAATTATTGAAATAACTTTCTAGCCTTTCTGAGAGGGAAAGAGTACTGGACTTACATGTAAAAAATAAATCTTGATTTGAATCAAATCTCTTTGAGCCTTTGTTTTCATAGGAAAAAATAACATCTAGCCTCAGGATTGTGGTAAGAATTAAAAGAGTATCAGAAAGCTTAGGATGGAGGTTAGAGTGTAGTTAGGTCTTTTTTCTTCCTCTGTGTACTCATCGGTTATTTGTAGGCTCTTTGAAAGATAATTACTGTTCTTCCTTGATCCCTAGATACATGTTAGGAACATTTCTTGCTCCTGAGTCCCACAGATAATATTTCTTGAGTTCTAAGCATCTAATACCTCATGGCAAATACCCTTTTAGGCCGGGTCAACCTTAAGAACTGACTGATGGTGGCATTGGTACCATTAATGATAACAGTACCAACTTCCAGCCAAATAGTCATCTGAATGGCTCTTTGAATATGACTCAAAAGAGCTTACATGTGTATTTCTCTCGCAGGTGGATTTGCTATCGTGTTTCTGGTGAGGACAAGCAATGGGATGAAATGTGCCTTGAAACGCATGTTTGTCAACAATGAGCATGATCTCCAGGTGTGCAAGAGGGAAATCCAGATAATGGTAAGGCTGCCCCTTGGACCTGGGACTGCTGGCTTAAAATGGGGGGTAGAGACTGTGTCCTCTTATAAGAAAGCCACGGGGGTGTGTTCCCTTTTCTGAGATGGCAGAGGCCTCTGGACAAGTGGGAGTGAAGAGCCAGGAGATATAGAACCCTGTTCCTGCCTTGGTCATCTCAGCTGGAATTTGAGGAGAAAGGAGCATATTAGAGAACTGAACAATTTTTAGATCAGAGAAGTAGTTTGGGGCCCTGGGAAAAGCTTATTTAATAAACCTGTTTCCCAGAAATCATTTGTGGCATACAACCTGGAAACCTGACTTTCCAGTGAGCCTCCTCTTCTAGTCTTGTCCTTTTATCAGTTAGCAATCCCCAATCTGGGCTCCTCAACACTCCATGAATGTATCCTTATACAACTTTACATTTTGCACATGTATTTATTTCTACCTGGAATGTTTGTAAGGTAGAAACCTTACAAATATGATTCCATTTGTAAAAGTCCAAGAACAGTCCAAATTGATCTATGGTGATAGAAGTAAAATTGACCAGGAAGTGGCATATGAAAATTTTCTAGGTCATGCAAATCTGTTGTTTAGGTAGTAGTCACACAGGGGTATATAAATATTAGAACTCAACTGAATATATTAAGATCTGCAATTTATCATTAATAATTCCTCAGTTTTAAAAAAGCATGCTAACTTTTCGAGATTCAGATTAATATTCTGTTTAAAGAAAAAGTCTCTATTTCCCTATGTGCTTCTGGATGAAATAATATGATGTCTTGAAAATAATCAGTTGGTTTGGAAGAAAACAAGATTGATTGGTGATGAGTTGATGATCAAAGCAGAGTGATGGCTGCAGGAGTAGGTTAGAGTAGTCTCTTTCTTTTACCTTGGTTTGACATTGTGCTTAATAAAAAAAACCTTTAAATATGTAGACTGTTTTTCCTTTGTTTTCCACAGTACTTTTGTTTATACTAATTATATTGCTTAACCTGTTTTGTTTTAAGTCATTCTGCTGTCAGAAAGTAATTACTTAAAATCAGAAACTTTGTACTCCCACACACTGCTTGACATAGAATAAATGTCTTAATAAATTTTAGAAGAAGTGAATATATAAATAATGGTAAGAGCAGATGCATATGTTCACCCAGAGATGATTCCTTTGTATCCTGAATCTTAATACTTTTGTAAAGAATTTCAAAAACTGCATGGGGCTGTTAGTGTGTACATTCCACCAGGCTTTGCTTGCCTTTGTCCACCCCTTGTGGTGTCACTTGCCCAGTGGCAGCTTAGAGTAACTAGTTGGACTGCAGTTGGGCTACTTACAGAACTCAGGATTTTAGAGAGCTGGGCACTACTTTGGATTCTAGAAAACTGAAACTATTTGGGAAGGAACTGCCACCATTGCAGAACAAGCCACCCACCCACTGAGGCTCGAGACCATGTGGATATGTGGATCTATCTGCAAGGTGCCAATTTCCTTCTAGTTCCCTGCCGTGCAGCTTCAAGTTACCATTCCTATATTCTCCTTGTTCCTCATCCTCCCCCTACTTGCAGTATGCTTGCTCAGTGCTCACACACTTTCTTTGCTTTGCTGTTTTCTTCTGCTTAGGATGCTCTTCTCATTCATTTACTTGTATTAGAAAAGCAATCACATTCTCCCATCATTTAGGAACATGTTTGAGTACTTACTCTATACTGGCCAGGCATTCTAGAGGAGGAACTAAGAAGCACAGGCCCACAAGTACCCACAAATTAATGGACCTGACCTGATTAGGAATTAATTTACATGGGTTCAGGTCCAGGCCCAGTCATGCATTAGCTGTTAGAGTTTTGTTTTTAGTTCAGTTTATATTTTTCAAAAGCTTACACAGTCAAATAGTTGAACTGAGATTATAAAAGAAAAAAGAAAAGGAAAAAAAAAATCAAGTAGTCCCTATAAGCTCTTCATAGGACATTTTAGGGTTCCAGAAGTAACCATAATAGTTGAGTCTTTTGATGTATTTTAGAATAACATGCTACTATTGCTTTTCCCTCCATTTTATCACCTGTGGGAAGTAAAGATTTAGCTCTCTTTCATCCCCTATATAGCCCTCTTCCTAAATACCTTATTTTCATGCCCCATTCTTTCAAAATACCAGTAAATTTTGGCAGTATGTTGGTATGTTAGTATTAGTTTTTACATTATTATATAAGAAAACTATTCCTGCTTAATCTTCTAGTAGACTGTGATTACCAAACCTTTCCCATTTAACTTTTTTTTACCAGATTAATAATTATCTTATTTTTCCTCTTTTGATCTCAGTTTTCTCTGTACTTTTGACAGTGTAAAAGTAAAACTTCCTAAGTTATGTAAATCACTTTTTGAGTATTTAGATATATTTAATATTATATCTGTTTTTAATCATTTGAAGATTTCTGTCCCAGTCTTCTGACTTGATGGAGTCAGGACTGGCTACCTCATCTTGAAATCTCCTAGGCATTCCCTTTGCCTTCTTTTTTTCCTCTTTTGCTTTACTTTCTCATGTTGGTGGAGCTGGTCCTCCAGTAGCTTCTTGATAATGGATTATACTTTTGGTATCAAGTCTAAGAAATCTTTGCCTAGCTCTCAATTCTGATATTTTCTCCTATTTTTTTAATAAAACTTTAATAGTTTACATTTTACATTTAAGTCCATGATCTATTTTGAGTTCACTTTTATATAAGGTGTGAAATTTTGGTTGAGGGTATTTTTAAATTTTTTTATTTTTGCTTATGGATGTCTGGTTGTTCTAGCACTATTTGTTGAAGAGGTCATATTTCCTCTATTGGTTATTTTCATTAAAAATTAGCTCGACTTAGTTGAAAGCATCTATTTTTAGACCCTTTTCTATTCTGTTCCTTTTGAGCTGTTTATCTCTCTACCAATACCACACAACCTTGATTACTGTAGTGTATAATAAGTCTTGAAATCATACTGAGTTCTCCTATTTCCCCCCCAATATTGTTTTACCTATTCTAGTTCATTTCACCTTTTGTATAAATTTTAGAACAATCTGATTCAGAATATTTATGTCTATAAAAGGTATTGCTGGAATTTTGATAGGAATTACATTAAACCTGCATTTTAGTTTAGCAAAACCTGACGTCTTTTCTATGTTTAGTCTTCCAATAAATGAACATAGTAAGTCTCTTCATTTATTTATATCTTTGGTTTCTTTCATTATCATTGTGTAGTTTTTCAGTACACAAGTCTTGACTGGGGATATACCTGGGGGTATAGTGGCATTTGGCTTGCCTAGTATTCTTGGGGTCCTGGGTTGAATTCTCAGTACCAAAAAAAAAAAAAAAAGAAGAAGAGCACAAGTCTAACACATGTTTTTAGAATCATATCAAGTTGTTTAGTTTTGGTGATTATAAATTATTGTTATTATGTTTTTATGGTGCAGGCGATTAAACCAGGGCCTCACTCATGCATACTGCATTGCACCTCCACTAAGCTCCACCCCAGCCCCGTGTGTTTAGTGCCAATAGGTAAAAATTAACTTTTGTATGTTTATCTTGTATCTTGACACTTTTCTATACTTGCTTACTGGCTCTGTCATTTTGTGGATTCCTTAGGGTTTTCTACAAATGATTTTATATCATTCTTTTTGGTTTGTATCTCTCATGTTTCCTTTTCTAGCCTTAGTTGCCCTGACTAGAACTTGCTGTACTGTGTTGAATAAGAATGACGGGTGAACATCCTATATTTATTCCAAATCTTAGAAGGAACACAGTCTTTTATTATTAAGTGTAAGGTTAGCTTGAGTATTTTGTACATTTAAAAGACTCAATTTGAGGACATTTCCCCTGTATTCCCATTTTTCTAAGAGTTGGGATTATGAGTAGGTATTGAATTTTTTAAGATGTTTTTTCTTCATTGATTCATGTGATCATGTGTTTTTTTTTTTTTTTTTTTTTTTATCTTTAGCATGTTAAAGAAAAGCAGATTGACTTTTCAAATATTGAACCAGTGTTGTATCCCTCTAATAATCCATTTGGTCATGGTATATGTTTTTATCTATTGTTACACTCTCTTTTGCTTGTATTGGATAGGAATGTTTACATCTATATTTATGAGGGAAAATGGTTTGTATTTTTTAAAAAACTTTTCCCCCCTAGTTTTGGTTTTGGGATAATAATGACTGCATATTATAAATTGGGGACTGTTTTCTTCTCTTCTGTGTTCTGGAAGAGATTGCATAGAATTGGTGTTGATTCTTCATTAAAGCATCTGGTAGAATTCTCTAGTGAAACCATTGGGGCTTGTAGATTTTTATATTGGGAGTTTCAAAGTAAAAGTTTAGTTTCCTAATTGTTATGAGACTCTTTGGATTATTTGTTTTATATTGAATGAGTTGTCATATTTTCTGTTCAAGGAATTGGTCCATTCGTTTAAGTGATTACATTCATGCTACTATAGCTTTTTTGTTTTGTTGTGTTTCAGTTTTCCAACAATTTTAATTTGAAGCCCTGTGATTTTAACCTCTCTAGGGTCAGACTTCTCCCTGATCAAAGCCACATCTCTAGCCCTGCTTTCTTAGCAATTCTAAGAATTATGAAGGGAATTAAAAGGTATAATATGTTTTCTAATATGCTAAGTCTTGTGTTTTAGTAATCAAAGAAGCAGATTCCTCTCTGTACTTACAGTGGTTTAAGGAAGGGCATATGGCACCTAAATGCAAAGAGAACCATCAGTGGTTTCACCAGAGTGGTTTTACGTTTTATTCTGATAAATGCTGTCTACCATTTACTAGAGTCTTGAATGTGTCCTTTGATACATCTGGATGTATGCTCTGATAGAACCAAAGGGATTCTGACTTATGATGGACTGTTGGAGGTGTGACTTTTGATGTATTTGCCTGAAGGAAAAGATTAATTATCTTCAAACTTAAAGGGGTAAAAACAGTGATAGGAAAGATCTAAAGCTCAGAATGTGTTAAGCACTGTTCTGTGTTTATATCTCCTGCCCAGATGGATTA